ACAGAGGGATTTTGAATACTATGAAAAAAAAATTAAAAAACTGTATAATTGGCCAGGAATGTCAAGAGCAGTAGCAGATTATGTACAGAAGTGTCAATCATGTCAAAGGAATAAAACTTCAAATTAGCATACAAAGCAATCGATGGTTACCACTTCCACGGCAGATAGACCATTTCAAAAAATATTTATGGACATAGTAGGACCACTTCCTATTACAAACAAAGGGAATAAATATGTACTTACAATGCAAGATGATTTAACAAAATTTAGCATTACGGCGCCTATGGTATGCTATGAAGCTAATACTGTAGCTCATAATTTTGTGAACTCATTTGTTTGTATACATAGAAACATACCAGAATAAAATATGGAAGTATACCAGAATTAATAGTATCGGACCAAGGCACAGAGTTTCTAAGTAAAATTTTTTCAGAAGTATGTAAACTATTAAACATTTCCAAGTTCAACACAACGCCATATAGATCACAGAGTAATGGATCATTAGAGCGAAGCCATTCAACATTAGACAATTATTTACGACATTATGTCAACAAAGATTTAGCGAATTGGGATGAATTTATTCCGTATGCAATGTATGTATATAATACAACAGAGCATGAAACGACAAAATTCCAACCGTATGAACTACTTTATGGATTTCCAGGGAAAATACCTACGTCATTGAAGAAGACACCCGAACCAAGGTATAATTATGAAGATTATAATTATGAAATTAAGCAAAAATTTCAACAATCTTATGAAATTGCAAAACAACGTATAGTAAATTCAAAAGAAAATACAAAAGGACGATATGATAAAAAGTTAGTCCACTGAGATTAAAAATAAATGACAAAGTTTGGCTTATGGAAAAACAACAAAAAAATAAGTTATCACAGAAATGGCTAGAACCATATGTAATAGCAGAAATAAATAGTAATGAAAATGTAACAATTGTAAGAGGACAAAAATTAGTTAAAGTACATAAAAATCTATTAAAACTATGTAATCAGTAAAATAAGTATAAATATTAAACCAGTGATATCTTGTTATTACAGGATATTAATCATACAACCAATAATGGCAACAAATTTAACAGGAAATTATCAAATACAAAAAATTGAATCACCATCAGGAATTTTTTTTAATCATTTGACGAATGTAAAAACAACAAATTCAAAATGGAAATTGTCAGTTTATGTGAATTTAACCAGGTATGATGATAATTTTGACCAAATAAAGAAATTTCAAAGAGAAACGGTACAACATTGTTTAAAGGTAGCAAAAAACACAGAAATAGTTCCAATAGAACACATTGTAATTTGGTCGTATTTATGCGAGCAATTTAATACAACAACCACGTCATATATCCATGATGTAGAGAAAAAACGACAACAGATAAATTATGCAGTTAGTAGAAGTGAATGTTACAGAAGAGGATTGATAAATGGAATTAGTATATATTATCAAAAACATTGTTTGGAATATGTTCAGATGAAGACTATGATTTTTTTGATAAGAAAATAAACGAAATATCCGAAAAACAAATTAGGGTAATTCATGATATGCAACAACAAACGCGGATAGTACAGTCAACAGTACATGATGTGGACAAAGAAATGGTGAAAATACAACAAAGCAAACCAGCGATAATAAATAATATAAATAAGTTGCAAAATAAAGCAAACAGAGCAGATAAAAGAATAAATTAAATGGAAGTTAGACAGATAATGAATGAGCAAACTGAGGAGTTAAGTGTTCTTTTAACACAACATTCATTTCAAACTCACAATCTGGTAGCAATAATTAATACTGCTCAAGTGGGTCATATGCATTCTAGCATTATTTCTGCAACAAATTTCTTAGCAGAGTTACAACTAGTTAGGATACAACTAGTTTCAAGAGAGAACTTCGCAGAACAAGTCACAATACAGAATATACATAAATTAATGAGAATGAGTAGCTTACAGGTGATAAGAGTAGCAGATACATTAGTGTTCATAATATCCATTCCAATCGTCCAAAACAGAGAATATAGTGTATATAAAGGAATTCCAATACCTATAAAACAAAAAGATACAGTATATGCGTTAATTCAGCCAACAAACAAATACTTAGCCATATCCGAGGATAACGTATACTCAATATACATAGATGACATGCAGTTAAACAAATGCATACATATGCAAGAGTATTATATTTGTTCAAGCCCTCAGGAAATGGATAATTGTGAAGCAAAATTATTCAGTAGTCAGAATAAGGAAATGATTCCAAAAGCATGTGAAATAAAAATTACACGTATTCAAAAATTAGTAGTACACAAATTAGATAATGAGAATGTTTGGTTGTACACGACAGAAAAACCAACGACAATCAAGATTGATTGAGCAAATGGAGAGCCAGTGTTGCAAACTTTGCAAAACACGGGTACAATTTATCTCACGTATCCATGTCGTGCGATAACAAAATAGTACGAGCTAACCCCCACCAGGTCAATAGTAACAAAAACGTCGTATGATTATATTCCGAGAGTAAACATAACGGCTAATATAAAACCATATCAAACAAGTAGGATACAGGAAAATTTTTCAAACCTAACTAATTCGTATTATCCCGATTTTCACTCATTAGCAACAAACTCAAAACAGTTAGATTTATTATTACAGTCAGAAATAGATGATAGTATAGAATATGTAAGCGTATCTAAAGTAACGTATGTAGCATTAGGAATAGGAATAGGTATATTAGTGTTAATAGTTGTAATAAGTAGAATAAGTTTTAAATTGTAGGTACAAACAAAATAAATTTTCAATGAGCTATATTAAGGCATTGGTCACTACAAAATCAGTAGATGACATACAGGGCGTATAAATTAATTAAATGTAAAATGTAAAGTATATAATTATTTAAAAATGTATAAAATATTTGTTTTTATGAAAAAAAAAGAATGTCATAAGTAAATAGACTCATGAGGGCATGAGCTTTCGTCTAACAAGGGGAGTGTTATGAATTGGTATTATTAATCATAGGAAATAAGCAAGGATGTAATAGTTAGTAAACAAATTAGAAATGTAGTATTTATAAAACATGAAGAATTACGAAATGAAATGATTATTGTAAATTAGTGTAAACAGGTACAATCCCGAAACTGCGAGTAAGCACTTTTTATATAGGAGGGATTGTCCTACGTAAATTTAGATATAAGGAACATTAAGATTGAAAGAGAATTAGTGGAGAATGAACAGTGCCATTGCCTGTATATGTTCAACTCAATAAACTTTATAACTGAAAAGACGTGTGTTTGTTACTTTATTTAATAAATCTATATTCAAACTCAACAAGTACGAGGCTACGGTCAACCGACTTGTAACGATTTGTTGTATAGTAAAAAATTATACAATAATATAAATTCGTTAATATGTAATGATACAATTATTTTTAAGTTAAAGTTGAAATGGGGCCCACTAAGTGTATAGGTGTCCCAGGGCCCAATCGATCCTTAATCCGGGCTTGCATGCGTCGTTGGCAAACCACACGTTACGTCAGCGAACCGCACGTCGTCAGCGAACCACACGTCGTCAGCGCACCGCACGTCGTCAGCGAACCGCACGTCGTCAGCGAACCGCACGTCGTCAGCGAACCGCCCGTTAACGCAGAGAACGGCACGTCGTCAGCGAACCGCACGTACGTCAACGACGTGCACGTCGTAACAAACCACACGTGCGTCAAAGAACTACACTTCATTATCAAACCACTCATCAGGACCGCTAGGATGCCATCGGCACAATCCCAATCTTTACATGGAAATTATCGAAGATTTTATGGGAAATGGATGCTATTCTATGAAACACCAAACCACTAACAGAAAATATATAAATGAAATAGTCGGGGAATGTCAAAGCGGTTTTAGAAAACGTAGATCGACATTGGACTATATTGTTACACTGAGATGGATAACGGCTAAATTTTATAAATTTGAAAAAGAATTGCAACTGAAAACTGAAATTTTATTAAGAATCTTTATAGACTATAAAAAAGCTTATGGCTGAATTGACAAACTATGAGAAGCACTGGAAGAATTAGGCATTCCTAACAAGTAAGTAAGTCTTATAAAAAGATGTAACAATAAAAATGTATGCATAGTTCGCCTCATGCAGGAAATGTCTGAAACCTTTGAATTAAAGTCAGGTCTTCTACAAAGTTAATGCTTTATCACCCACTCTACTGAATCAACCATTAGAAAATTAAATGATAGAAGTATGGGATAGTCGAAAAATGGAAATATTATGTATAGAACGAGTAATATTGGGGTAAGCAGATGACGAATTGAAGTCAAAAATACTTGTCCAGACTCTTAGCAAGTAAAATTATGGGGCTAAGTAATATAGGGCTACGTGTATATTTAATGGTAGCAAGAGGAAGCTCAAACATAGACCATATTATAACAGTAAATGATTAAAATTTCAAGAAGTATTTAAGTACCTAAGCATTATCATAAATAGCATCAAGGACAGGTACGAATAAATCAACTATCATATAACATGCGGCCATCGGTGCTACTAAATCAAAATTAAACTTCTTAAATCAAAACTACTTTCACAAAGTCATATAACTCAAAGACACTATATATTGTATAATAGGCATTTATGACTAATAATCACATATACGATCGAAACATGATCACTGACCAAAGGAGACAGCCAACGGCGCACAGTGGGAGGATTTGAAGTAATACCGCGACAAAAATAAAAAAAAATATATCAAAATATAGATAAAAACTACGTAATTAACATTTGTTATTATCTAGTGATCTTAAAATAGATGCTTATCTAAAATTATATTCGTTTATATCAATACTATTAGTAACCAGAGCGACGCCGCGACGGTAATTTTGAATAATCATCATTACCTAGCTACACAGTACACACGCTTAATGTTATTTCTTGTTTTCAGTTTTACGAAATCTTAAATTATTAAGTTTATTTAGTTTATACATTTTATAAATGACAAGGTATGTAATTGTTAATAATAATTTATTTAACCCTTCAATAAATAATAATACGGTTAGACGAGTCTTCCAAACTTTCAATTTACCTGAGGATTTTAATTTTTTTGAAAAATATGTAAAGGCTGAGTTTATTTTTAAATGGGGGTGTGATGGAAGTTCTGGTCAAACCGAATATCACCAAGCATTTACCCAGAATACAAATTTAACCCTAAATGATCCACATTCAAGTAGTGATTTAGATAACGACACTGATGACTGTGAACAAAATTATGAACAAGATGTAGAATATACCGATGCAAACATGTTTTTATTTTCTCTTGTTCCTTTGCGATTAACTTTTAGTATGACTGATGACACAAATGATATTTTATGGAAAAATTTAACACCATCTTCCACGCGTTACTGTAGACCCATTAAATTTTTATATAAAAAAGAAACAAAATATAATACTTGCAAAGAAGTCGAGGCAATTGAAAATGAAATAAATGCCTTAGTCCCAATTGAAATTGTTATAAATAATATGTCTGTTCCTGTTCACTGTAAATTAGTTATGACAATGGTAGATGGAAAAGTTATAAATAATTTAACTGATACGTAAAGTCAAAGATGTTTTATTTGTAACTGTGGACCCAAAAATATGAACGATTTAAAAAATATACAAGAATTTAAAATTAATGAAGATAATTTGAAATACGGGCTTTCTACATTGCATGCGTGGATCAATTTTTTGAAATGCATTTTAAATATTTCATATAAATTAAATATCCACGAATCAACTAGTCGCATGTCCAAAGAAGAGAAGGGGAAAGTTTTACAAAAAAAAAAAAAATATTCAACAAACATTTTGGAATGATATGGGGATAAAAGTTGATAAAATAGTACAAGGTCAGGGTATATCTAATACTGGGAATGTAGCAAGGAGATTTTTTAAAAATGCAGAAATGTCGTCAAAAATAACAGGTGTTGATTTAAATCTAATTAAAAAATTAGGTGATATATTAATTGCAATATCTAGTGGATATGAAATTAATTTTGAGTCATTTGATGAATATTGTAAAGAAACAGCCGAATTATACATTGAGTTGTATAATTGGTATCGCATGCCTCCAAGTATGCATAAAATGTTGTTACATGGTTCTATTGTAATAAAACATGCACTTGTACCAATAGGATTATTATCTGAAGAAGCGCAAGAAGCATGTAATAAAAATTATAAAAATTTTAGGGAAAATCATACTCGCAAAACATCAAGACTAAGTACCAATACTGACTTAATGCATGCTCTATTAATTAGTTCAGACCCAGTGATATATTCTAAGCGAAAAATTTTGAAAACACCATTTACAGAATTACCATCCTCGGTAAAACAATTAATAATTACAGATAATGATGAAGAAACAGAAGATTCAGACGTATGTTCTGATTCAGAATAACATTTTTTATTAAATAAATACTGTATCTATTTACCTATCGTGTTTTCACACAATAATTAGAACTAAGCTATTTTATTAATTTTCTTTTGTAATTATAAACCTATAAATTAAAACATATTATTTAAAACTATAATTAAATAAATATAATATGATTTTATTATGAAATATATTTTTGTTGCGGTAAAACCTCAATTCCTCCCACTGTGCGGCGAATGACCTTCAAAGAAAGGTACTGATAAGTATATACGGTCCAAAGTTCAACGCAGAATTTCAAACTTATGAAAGCAGAAAAAAATCAAGAATAATAAAAAGACGATGAGCCGCGAACAGTTTTTTTTTAATATGTCACAGGGTATGCTTAAGTATACTTAAGTCGGTAAAGCACGATTGAGCATAAAACGATTGAGCATATACCTTTTAGCAACACGATTGAGCATAGAATATTTTATGTGATGTTGCCACATTTACGTGGCCGAAATTTTGTAACTTATTATTTTCACATATTATTGCCCCAATAATTTTTATGATACCAGACGCGAGTTGTGATAAGAGCCCAGCTTTATCGACAATGTTATTGGTTAATAAATTATTTCCGGAGCAATAAAGTTCCAAAGTTTTAAAAATTTAAAATTAAAGAAAAACATAAGATTATAAATTAAGATACAATTACTAAATTATCATTTAAATAATATCATTGTTCGATCACCCATCCTCTATAGTATTCTTGACTTATAAAGTTATAAGCAATGCAGTATTTTTTTTAATTCGTACCATATTATTACTACTATTATTATTATTATTATTACTTTATTATTTTCATAACTATTATTATTATTATTATCATCATTATCATTATCATTATTATTATGTAATTGTTTTGATATATTATATTTTGAATTATAATAGTTATTTAAATAAATCTTTTTGTATAATATAGGTAGTTTAAAATGGAAAATGGCAACGTTGCAGAGTTTTTTATGCTCAATCGTGTAGGTTTTCTTTTGTATTCTGATTTCCTTTGATACGCCGACAATTCGGCTCAATCGTGTCGTAAAAAAGGTGTTTTATGCTCAATCGTGTCTCAGCCACATGAGTACCTAAAATGTATCATGATTGAATTTTGGCCTGACTATATAATTTTTATGTCGGGAAAAATTTTTTTTTTAATTGGTCTTAAGTGTCAGCCACTATTATTCGATGTGATATTATTATTATTGCATTATTTAAATGAAATATAAAAATATTTTCGTTATATTAAATATTTTATGTATGACTGAAGATTTCAGGATTTGTTTTATATGCATTGTTTTTAGATACAAGAATGTCTATAAATATTTAAACTTAAATTAAAATTATTTAAGTATTAGCTTAAGATTATTGGGTGTACAATAATATGCATAAAATATTAGATTATTAGATGGAAAATATAAAGACTAATAATTATCGAGCGTAGCGAAAAAATACATTTTGTGCAATAACCCTATACCTAGTAAGTACAATATCAACTAGCCTGCATCGTTGTTAGCATATCTTTCAATAAGTTAAGTTGAAATGACGCCCCTGTGGTGTATAGTGCAAAGTTAAGAGCATTTTTTAAATAACTTATGTGTATTGAAGCACAATGCATTTGGGAAAAGGAAATACTATTAGGTGTAATAATAATTCTCGATCGCTAATACGTTTACAATTAGTTGTTTAAATTTCAAACGGCATAATAGGTATATCAATATAATATAGTATATAATAATTTTAAAATAATTAAATTTTTTTTAATTAAAATAAATAAAAACCGAAACAATTTTCAAACATAACATTTTGGCACTGGGGTAGTTGTTTTTATTGGGTGGAGACTCCTTTGCGCACATAATAATATATATTTTTAATTTACGATAACTCGTTTGCTCACAAAATAGTGAAGAATGAAAACCAGCTGGTAGATACAGTTTAGGGTGTACAGGTGATCTTAAGCTGCCCGTACACGATCAGTATTATTTATATAAATTGAGCACCCGTCAATTGATAGAAGACATATTTGATTCAGGAGTTTGAAAAAAAATAAAGTATTATTAAAAGAATACTCAAAAATGATTCTGAAATTGGAAGGTGGCTATTAAACACATTTTCGGTGTCCCTTATTTAAACTCTAAAGAGGTTCCGGATGCATTTACTGAAATAATTTCAATAGCTCCTACCAATAATGTAAGTATTAATTTTCCAAAAAGATTTTCATAAAGATTCTGATATTGATTTTAGGCCAGAATTACCTAACCTAACCAGACAATAGCCCAAGAACAACGAACCGAGCTGAAGACGTTCACATGCACTTCATAGCAAATGTGATACCTCCCACCATCACATTCACTAGGTAACTTATTCAAATACTAATGGAAATTCTAATCAATATTGATTTAAAAATAAATTAATTTAAAATAAAGAAACAAAATGATGGAATTTCAGTAAAAATAAAATACATTAATAGCTGGGCTGTATCACAATAATCACTTGATGTGAAGCAATCCAAGTATTAACATCCAGAATAAACCGTTTAGGAGATGAGACACATGAAATGTTACAAAATAATTGCAAGTCAAAAAATGAAACAAGCATGAATCATCAGAATATTTTTGTTCAACAGTCTTATTAGTTTGATAAGTAAATAAGACGGGGTATGATATAAAATCATTGTATCCAATACGAAAAACGATTCTAAGCTAAGACGGTCTGTCCGCCAATAATATTATTAAGGGTACTTATATTTGTTGATATTATTCAAGTGATTAAAGTACCTAATTTATTTTACTAGGTATAAGGCATTACTAAATTAGTACAACAACAGGTTAAATTCATTTTTGGCAAAAAAATTACATTGGAAAATGTCATTGTGTGCATAAAATATAATAATGTACCCAAGAGTTTCATATACCCACGAATAATATTTTTAAATTAGGTACAACTAAAATCATAATTCTGGGTTTTAAAATGTAATTTCGTCTAAATTTTAACTTATATAACAGTTACTAAAATTACTAAAAATTGAACTTGAAATATCCGTAAAAAACAACTAGGTTTATATTTTTTTAGATTTTTTGGTTACAATATGAACTATTTATGAGAATCCTATAATGTAAGATACAAATCTAGATAAAAAAAAGTATTTTCTACACAATATTTGTCTAGATAAATTTAAATATTCTATCTTCATATCAATCTACATATATTTATTGAGTTAGGTATAATCTAATATAATAATAATATTATCTAGATATTATTTTTACTATATGAAATTACTAGTTTGGATCCGTATTCTGATGAAAAAAAACCTTTGATTGTGGAAAGCTTCTTTCATTGTTGATTTGTAGATCTTTGAATTTAAAACTATGTAATGGTTTTATATTGAAAATAAAATGAACAATTAATCCTTCGCAAACTAAAAGAAGGAAAGTTAAAATCAATTTGGAATACTAAGAAATTACAAATTAAAACAGCAATCGGAAAAATATAAATAAAATTCGTGAAAGTAAAAACTGATGTACTTATATAGTATTTTAAAGGTTTTTGAACAAAACTGAAACAATATAAATATTAATAATAAATAAACAGTGGAAATTGGTTGGTTTCCAGACATATTATTAGGCCAGCATAGTTATTTATTATAATATAACATAAGAATAAAATGTTTTTTAACGTTTTAAATTATGTTTGTAGCTAACACTCAATAATAATAATAATATGTAACTAGTGTAAGCAAACATGCATTATAGCTAGGGCCGTCCTAAGTCCAAGGGTACATAAAAAATTGTGGGCCCTAAAATTATAGATTAATTTAGTTAGGGTGTCAATATTGTAACTGTTATTTTATTATTGATATCAGAAATACGGTAAATATGTGAAAATTAGAGTTAATTATTTTGTATGCCTACCAGGTACGTGGGCTACATATTAATATTATATTTTATACACACAATTACATTTTCAAATGGTTAAATATTCGGTAAAATTGCTATATAGATGCGCAATAAACTGTATAACATATTTATACTAAATTACCTCTGTAATACAGTTTTATTTAATATTATATTATAATAGCATAGCTTTAATTAGTTATGATGGTCATAAACAATGTATAGGTACAATGTGTATGCACTGAAATAAACAAAATCAAACAATAATAATAAACTTATAAAAGTAGGTATTGACAAAAAAGAATTTCAAATCTCAACATATAATATTTTTTTATAATACTGACAAGTAAGCGTGCCCAAGGTGCCAAATATTCATATTCATATTATATAATATATTCATATTATTTTTAATAATAAATTACATCACGATGTTAGTAATTTTTCAGTATCATTGACGCCTTTTAGAAATGATTAAAAAAATTTAAATTTGATAGCGAATTTTACGATAATTTTTTTCTTACAGTATTGAATATTATGATATGTAATATTTTTCATAATTTAATGACACGCTTGAAATTAGAGGTAATTTTTGACACGTAAATAGTTTGTCACCACTGCACTATAATATTATAATATAATCCATAAATGGAACAATGTGACTATTGTGTGAAAGATAACCGTATAAGCCTTCTACAGAAGGCCTATTTGTGATATCCTTTGTATTCGCAGTAAGTTAGGACTTAGGTTAGGTAATGCTGCGGTTTCCATTTTCCTGTACTAGTTATTTCCAAACTAAAATTATTAATTTAAACTGTTTTAAAATCACGTATAAGAAAATATATAATGTAATATACAAATTATTGAACTATTATTTATTGTTATTATAAAGTGACTTTTTTGTTCGAAATAATTATCAATACGAAATCGAAACTAAACTGAAGATGAAAAGTTGCAATCAGACGAACGTGTTAAGTATAAACAATAAAAATTACAGAGAATATTTCTTGGACAATGAAGAAAACGCATAAGTTTTTTAGCTGGTCCATTATATTTCCAAACAGAATATAGACATAGGCGACAATTGGGGGGGGGGGTGTTAAGCCCTCCCCCCAAACTTAGCTTTAGCCCCTCCAACACCAAAAAAAACATAGGACATACAGTTTTAATATGCTATATTGCAATGGTCTACTTGCTTTTAATATATTCAGCCACCCCCCCAGTCAAAAGTTGAAATTGCGCCTATGAATACAGATAATGTACATAATATGTATAATATATTATAATAATACACTGTATATCATGAATTAATGTGCTCGATTTCTACAATTTGTTAATTTTTCAATTTTAAAATACGACTAACGATTCTTAATATATTTGTAGTCAATTATTAGTTCTTATCTAAAACCAAATCGCTGATAAACTCTCTTCGTTAAATTATCATTCATCACTCTCACTGGTTAGTGGTCACTCTCTAAGACAGGGGTCGGCCATTAGTTATTTATTTCCCTTCGGTTGTCCCCCGCCATTTACCGACCCTTTCTCTAAGCGTTAGCTAATTTATCTAATAAGTGCAAATCTATACCTATACTTATGCTATTATTTTATTCTACCTACTACAAATAAATACCAAACAAAAATAATATTATGTATATGTATTAAAAAATACAGAAAATTGTCTTACTTACTTGATTTATACTGTTTATAGGTACCTACCAAGTTTAATTTGGCTGAGCTGAAATAATTTCTTATATCAAGTGGACTCATTAACTTTTCCATGTTGTCCAATAGCTATGAAACATGGAGGTACGTACAATACTATTTTGGATCCGGGTTCTGATAAATAGTAGCTTTTGTTCATTTAAAATTGCATTCATTGTTGATGTGTGCACCTATATGTACACTACCTAACACTGTAAAATGTTTTATTTTGAAAATAAAAAGAACAATTAATTTTGCACAAACTTAAAGAAAGTTAGGAATGTTAAAAAGAACTTTGGAAAACTTAAAGAAATTACAAATTTAATCGACAATAGGAAAAATTTAATATTATTCGCACGAATATTAAAACTGTAAAGTATAATATAATCAAAATATATTTTAAACAAAATTGAAATATAAACATTAATAATAAATAAATAAATTTAATAGATGGGTTTCTAGTACCGATTAAAAGAAAATTAATAACAGACGTACTATATGGCCAGCATAGTTTTTTTTAAATAATATAAAAAATGAATAAATAATAATTGTTTATAAATGTTTTATATTATTATGTTTGTAGCCAATTCACCATAATAACAATTAATACTAAGTATAGGTATAGCCTTACATTATAATCAGGGTAAGTGAGTAATGATGTACATTTCCATGAACATTATATATTTTCTTATCAAATATACCCTTTGATATTATATATTTATTAGTTATAGTATACTTAAAGTTTAAACTGTTTTACCATTAACATATTTTAATATTTTACTATTAAACATACCTAGGTACTTAATATAGGAAACGCATAATACAAATAAATTTATCTAGGCAATAAATGTGCATTTTTATTTATATTAATAAAAAATAATTGTATTTTTACTTCAAGTTTAAATGTTAAGGGTATAAACGTTTTCCTACATTAATTGATTTTTCCATTTTTTTTTGTAATTTATTGATTGAGTTATTCTCACAATTTTACACCGACTACTTTTTTTGATTAGTTAGGTATAAGTTATTAGGTACTTACAAATTACAATGTACCTAGTCTTAACACAAGACCATATAAGTCAGAACTATTTATAATTGAAAAATATGTAATATTTAACATAATATATTATAGGTATCTAGGTACCTATATATTATACTTTAATTTTAGTACATATTATTATTCACAGTCATTTAATTCCTAATTAAATAATAAACATTTAACTAACATAACAACCGTAAAACCTCAACAGCTAATAATTATGAAAAAAAAATTTATTAAAAATCAAGTTTTCAAATAAAGTGGAAAACTGTCAAGCTAAGATAATATATACAGTGGAATATGGAGGGGTAGGATACTGACCCCCCCCCCAAAATTTTTTTTTTCTATAAAAAAATCTTATTTACCACAATTTTGATACACACAGATCAAACAGATCACACAGAATTGTTGGTCATTTTAATATATATAAAATAAATTGTTAGTTTCTGTTTTTGTTTTTTTTTGGCTGATTTAGAACATTACTAAATAAAGTCTGCCATAATCGATGGTGGATCATCGTCCATCAATTATTACCACGTTTATTACAGCCCGAGGAGGCTCTATAGCTGACGACCAGTTAAACACTGTCAATGTAGACTAAATTTGAGACTATAACCATTGATTTTATAATATTATACAATCAATGCAATAATTGAATGGCAATTTGTCAAAAGGGACAAAAGTTACATTTTTGACAAAAATAGTTTTGTTGTATATTATTCATCATCTTATGTGAACACATCGTTTTGTATTACAAAGTACCTATTTCGTATTATCTTGTCTGTGCAAAATTATTATGAAATATTTCATAGTTTGTTAAAAGGTAGGCTATATGTAGATACCTATGTACTTATTCCGCAAATAGAAATAAAGGAAAACTTTTTTTTGTTTCTCCTGAAAAGTAGTTGAAAATATACATGTATCCCTTTTAATAAATTGCCATTCATACTATAATTTGTTAGATAAAAACTGTAAAAAAAAAAAAATGGAAATTATTCACTCATATAAAACCCTAACCGAACTAAAATCCTGCGTACGCTGCTACTGCATATAAAATATATCACTGTTTGTTATTCAATCGTTTTTGTACCTAAATATAGTTGGCATATCAATAATAATAATAATAATAATCTTGTTTGGAAAAATAAACAGTCCCGAAATCAGTTGATGTAAATATATTGTCGTAGTATCTGGCTACTAATAAACGATGTTTGTTTTAAATTATCGTCGACGGCCTAGTACGAAATTCGAAATCGTCTCATTTGCAATTTTTCCGACTAAATATACTCGCACAAAATATACCAGCATAGAAAATGGCCGAATCACATAATACCGAAACAACAACATAAGAAATCGAGAAAACCGTTATGGACGTCATAAAGAATATATCATCAACCACACCTAACCACATAGAGTCAAGATAAAATGGACAAAGAACTTAGCACATTCGACGACTTCCGAGAAGAGCCCACGGTTGCGGATTCAGCGTGCCTGTTCGCGGGCGGCGACTCGTCGAAAACCCTTCAACTGCAGGACGGCAAATCCAGTACACATTTGTTCGGACTCTTTCAACTGGCTCATCTCGATCATAGTCTTTCTCCCGATGCAATTCACGATTTAATGCATCGTGCGTCGAACGATTTGGCGCTGGCATTCCCAATGTTGTCAACATACTGCCACACATGAGCACGCACATGTCTTCGATCAGAACTAATGCTTCGTTGCGTATCCCGTCGTTAATTTCAAGATCAAAATTCGAAGTTGTCGTGCCAACTCTGTGCAAAGTGTAATCAGCCATCTCGTCCTTGTATTTCTCCCACAATGCAGGCGGGTTCGATGGATTACATGTGGCTATGATGTTCGCAACCAACGTACGAAATTGATTAGCTGGCCCAGAAACAGTTGCATCAGCGAGTGTTGAGTCCCAATGTATATCGTTTTCGATCAAATTCAAACGTTGGCAAGCCTCCCGAAAAGTGGCTCACAGCAGACCATCCACAGTACGCAGAGATTTGAAGGATGTCGGGCCCCTAATGTTCACCAAAAGTAAGCGAAGATAGAAGCATTCGTCTTGGCGTGGATGTACTGGGTATATTCGTCCGAGGGTATTAGTCGAATAGACATCAACGAAGCCAGCAACAGCATCACCTTTCTTCCTGCGTTGATTCAATGAAGCTTTCTATGCTTTCTTTCTTTCTTAAATAGCGTGGCATTTCCGAATATAGTAAAGTCCTCGCGAACGGATCGCTTTCTTATGTCGAAAAAAAATTTGTCGATGTTGTTGCTGGTGGTCGTTCTGCTCTTTGCGCTGCATTTGCTTCCGTAAAGTAGACACGTTGGCCGTTCTCCAAGTGAACTGCCAAATGTACGAGAGTCGGGTGACGTTCATGAATCGGAAATGAAAACATCTGCCAAATTACAACTCACGTAACGTCCAAGTTGAAATTTTGTCACCTCATCGTTTGCATTTTGATCAGCAATGAAAAACACAGAAATGTCACTCCCTTTGTTCACATATTTGAAAACGTATTTGATTGATTTGATGGAGTTGCAATACTCAACATTGCAGTGAGTTGAGAACGTTTTTGACAAAAGTGGACTATATGGAACGATCCAGCGATTATCGACGACGACATCGTTTCCTTTTACTTTCATCGTGATTTATCTGCCGTTGTCATCTGGAGAACGACGCCGATACAATGAATATCCGTCGATTCCACTAATGGTGTCAGCCACCAACGGACGGAAAAACGCTTTGTGCAGTTTCCGTTTTCCATGCACGGTGACCCTGGATTGTGAGCTCCTCAAGGGCCATGTACATGTTCGTTGTCACAACGGAATGCAGCTCAGGATCAGTTTCTGGATCTGGTATTTTGGCAGAAATGATCGAATCAATATGATCTGGTCAGATCTTGTCGAACATCCAAATCAGAATGTGTGTATGTGGTAGACCACGCTTCTGTAATTCAACCGTGTACATCCAACAACGGAGTGCGCCAAAGACCTTCTGCTTAACGATGTAATCCATGAGTACTATGATATTTTGTTTGAATACTCGTGCAGTGATGTCATGTCGATCGCTGGATGTTTGTCCTGTCAGCAACTGATTTGTAATTTCGGACCATTTCGGATTGCAAGTAAACTTGATGGACATCCGTAATTCCGCACGTACGTCATCGCATCCAGAGCATATTCATGCATGTGGCGCGAGCTTCCAACATGAGTAGCTGAGAGAATGGTCAAACGACCACTGTTGGCCGCGTCTCCTTCGGTAGCGATGGCATCATGCAAGTGGGTGTACTAGTCTCATCGTAACTTCGACTGATTGAAGCGAATGAAATTAAGACGCTCCGTTTCGACATTGACGTACATGTCGCTGATCTAGTTCAATTTCCGAATTACCAAGGAAATAGATCTGAAGGAAATTATGATTTTCATTTGGTGGTGGTAACAAAGCGCCCGTTCAATGGTGAATTTGCCCTTGAATCTGAATATTTAGATGGTCATATGTAAAAAAAAGTTATTTTTATATTAGACGCCATTACCTTATAACTCGGATTGTAACCTGGTTGAACAATAACTTTGGCTAAAAATTACGTCATTTGAAAACAACCGTTATATTTTTGTGTATTCCCCAGGAAATAGTTTGATTGGATTGTATTTCCATAGACTAACGAATACAATGGCTTTGGTGGTTGATCCAAAACTGGCAATTTCACCTTGCCACCAGCGCAGCATAAGCCGGGGGTTTCCGATCGAAATCTCAATGCATATTGAAATGCTGGCATACGATAGACAATGAACCGATATTAACACAGCAAAGATCTTTGTAGGCGATTTTGGAATCGTATTCGAAAGCAGCACGATTCAAGGATACATTTGTACTTATTCTTCTTCTCCTATTACCATGTTGTCGAATTTGAGGTGGTGTTTGTAAGGCGCGAACCTGTGTTATATGAGCACTTCTGCACGTTCCTCTTGCGTTTGATTATAACGGACATTCTCACAAATTATTGCATTACGTGTACGTCGTCCAATGTTTGATCTTCTAATAGGAGGCATCAGTCAAGTAAAATATTCTCTTCAAAAAATAACAAAGTTGTATTTGGTTAATCCTATTGAAAATAAAATACTAAATATTTAATAATACTCGTGCATCTTATAAGAAATGCAGGTTTTAAATATGTGATTGCTAATTAATTAATTTTCTAAAAAATGGAAAATGAAGTCGTAATAATACATTAATAATAATAACAAAATAATGAACACAAAACTATAAAATAACTATAGAAGCCATAGATTAAACTGATTGTACATCGAGCTGATAAATAATAATAAATAATACATCAGTATCAAATTGCCATAGAGATGTCTACGTCTACCATAAAGTAAATTAAAGACAACGGTATCGAGTTCAAATCCCAGACATAAATAAATAGTTTTTGCAGTTTTTTATAATTATTCGGTTGACTTTTTAAAAATTTTCTTTCGAAAAAACCTTCTCCTAACAATTACCAACATCTTAAAAAAATTTTGAGACAAATCGGACCAGCCGTTCTCAATTGATGAATTGTTATACATGTTTGGCTCCATTTTTATGTATACAGTGTGTCCCAAAAGTCCCGTATCACCCTTAATATCTCCATGTAAAATCACTATATTTAAACGCGGTTTTTTTTACAGTACTAAGTATGAAAATTCTGATTGAATGGCATAAAATTCATTTATTTTTTTCTTTAAATTCAAAAATTTTCAAACAAATTTTTTACGCATTTAAGAATTTAAAATTTTTAAGATAGCTATTTTGTTGAGCATATTTTTTAAAACAGTTCAAAAAAAAAATACTAAAATTAAATAAAAATTGACAAAGTTAGAGCAAGTTATGTTTTTGAATAATTGTAGTAAAAAAATAAATTAGGAATGTAAAAGTATTGTCGTGTGCTGAAATTAGATATTTCATTATTGAAATGTGAAACAATAATTTATTTTTTACTACAATTATTCAAAAACATAACTTACTCTAACTTGGTCAATTTTTATTTAATTTTAGTATTTTTTTTTTTGAACTGTTTTAAAAAATATGCTCAACAAAATGGCTATCTTAAAAATTTTAAATTCATAAATGCGTGAAAAATTTTTTTGAAAATTTTTGAATTTAAAGAAAAAAATAAATGAATTTTATGCTATTCAATCAGAATTTTCATACTTAGTACTGTAAAAAAAAACCGCGTTTAAATATAGTGATTTTACATGGAGATATTAAGGGTGATACGGGACTTACGGGACTTTTGGGACATACTGTATAGAAGATGATTATTATTATTATTATTAATTATTATTATAGTAGGTTAGTTTGTTTAGTAACTAATAGATACTATATAAAAGCAGTCTCTCTCTCACCCATATTCTTGGACCCCTTATTTTGTTGAAATATTGTTGACCTATCCATTCTTATATAATCTATAGTCCTATCAAGCCATGTTGGTTGTTGGTAGTTGGTACATTATTTGATCCGAAACAAATTTTGATATTATTTAATGCATTCATAAAATACAATTTTAAAAATATTTTATGTATATTTCGAAATTTACCATGTTTTCAATGTTGAATATCTGCCCAAATCCAAGAGTTGGTGTGGCTATTTTTACAAACCTTTTTTTTTTTTTTATATTCATACAAAGTATGACAAGTCATATTCACCTTAATTAAACAAATTTCTTCAGAACTTAGGGGCTAGAGCATAATCGATTTGTTTTCATTATACTTACTTTCTGTATTAGTTTATTTATATTTTTCAATAACTATTCATGTTTATATATTATTTACATTTATTTTACTTTGTTTTATGATGTAGTTACAAATATTTTATAATTATTAATACTTATTAGTTAATTACCAACCTAATTTTTTTTAAACATATGTATACTTATTTTGTTCTAATTGTTAAATGTATTATTATACATTATACATTTAACATCTATAATAGCTATATATAGTTTAATTTGCATATAATTATTTTTTTTATTAAAAATCCCATCAGCCCCTCCCCAACCCACCGATTTATATCTACAACACAGCTATTCATCTAATATTATATTATATTATATTATACAACAGTTGTTTACCTAAAAAATTTTATTTTTTAAATTTATGTATATTTAACTTTACTCTAGTAATGTATTTAAAAAAAATTGTATACCTATTATGATAATGTTATTTTTATAGTTAAATTTGATTATGTAAATCATCAATAAGCGAAATCATTAATATTAATTTATGATGTACCTACCTATAATTAACTATATTTTTAGATTCTGAGCAGTTCGAGGAATCTAGTGGTTTTACAATTGTGTTTATTTATTATTTTTTATCCTGTGAACAAAATTTCTACCAGAAGGAATGATTCGATTCAACAAAAATATGGTATCTTATTTTTTAGAAAATTGGATCAAGATGGTACTTTAGAGAGGACGTTTTTCGATTTTCTGGATAGTTATTTAATGCAACGGGAATACCCACCAAGAAATCACAAAAAACTGGATCCTAATTTCTAACGCTTTGTATCACCATATAAATTAATAAAAAATTGTGACTATTTAGGGTTTTTTACAATATAAAATATTGAGACTGACAACCCGTCTCCGCTCAGAATAGTTTTTCGTATGCAATGATATTATATTATTGAATTCAAATGTCATACAATCTATTATTGTACAGTCACCCATTTGTAGCCTACTGTACAACAGAGCGACATCCACTTAAACGCTTTTATTTTAATATTATTATATACACACGGCGTCCATAAGAAATTAAATATTCACATAACCAAATATGTTTTTTATAAATTCTTTTTTCGGTGGTTGAAAATGAAACAAAACGTTCATACATGTAACCATGGAGATACCGCCGACTGTTTGGTTTCGACGGAAGAATACACAAAATGTATAATATTATTAATTTAGTTTAAATTTGTTTGAAATTCCAAATAGATTCTTGTAACTTTAAGTCGATATAATATATTAATATATACAATTATTGTACATTTTGCAATATCACGCCTACGGAATGGACTGCAAGCGTAAACGCAAAATCGACTATGGGGAACGGTGATCAGAAAAATCGTGAAAGCTGGCAATGTCAAAGGTAAGTGAATATTGTACACGTCATATTTTGCCGATTTACCTCCATACTGCCTTAAAAATAAGTTATTTATTAAAATGTACCTAAGGTATAACTACTTTTTTGTGGCATAAATGCATTTTAGCTGCCAAGCGATTTTTAAATTTTTTTCGGGAAATCTACGTACCTATTTCAATGAATTAAGAACAATAATGGTGCCATCGAAATATTCGGTCTTACTTAGTTTAAAATTTATAGCTTTTTGAAATCCGTGAGTTTCCATAATCCCATGGTTTTTTTCAAATTAAATTACTTTATAACCCAACAATAAAATAAAAAGTGAGTTTGATAATATGTAATTTCCGATTCGACTAATACATATGTTAAGGATGTAAAAATTCAAATTTTGAAAAAAAAATTACTTAGAAATTAAACTGAATTTGTTCCAATATTTCATATTTTCATCCATTAGTTAATGCTTAGGTAAATCGTTAGGAAAGCCAATGTTAAATAAACAAATTAAAGTTTTAAAAAAA